AGCGAAAAATTAAATTTTATTGCCGCCAAAAATCATAATTGTTGAGCTTACTTGCATTTTCAGTGAAAATGTTTGCTGAAGAGATTCCAAGGTCGATTCTACCAGAAGAAGACGGCGGATTCCTTGTGTTTCCGAGGTAATCTCCTTCGATTCCGTCCATCGTATGAACATCATAAGAACAGAGACGGTATCATCATTACAACAAAATGCAAGCTAACGAGTCAAGAAAACATAGAGTTTATTCTAAGGATGATACCTTGCTGATTGAGTAGACCTTGGAATCTGTTCACCACACACTTTTACTCGAAATGAAAGTCAGCTCAACAATTATGAAAAAAGAGATTCCTCGAAACCCAACTTTTATTCGCAGAAATCATAATTGTCGGGATGGAAACTAGCGGGCCTCAGGTTCCTTATGTCTCTGAATTGTGATCAGATAGAAAATGATTCATTCTGCCATCTTCTTTTTTTTCGGCCAGCAACCAAAATCTCCTCCGACGTCGGCACCGTCCGTCCAAACGACGCTAACGCTTCAGAAGTCCGTGGGCAGGACAATGTCATGTCACCTCTTCTGCAACTTGCCGAGCCCCTGTTGCCAAGTGGCCTGGCAACAAGCAGTTTTGGATTTGGCAATGCTGAAGCACCGATTGTTTGCGAATCCGGAGCTAGGCAACCTCGGTCGGGCGAGAAAAGTTCGGAACTGCCCAACTCAACACAAGTGGTAGTCAAAGACAAGACGACAAGCAAGGAAGATAAATCTGAACCAACGGAAATCAAGGTGAAACGATGTCTTACCCAAGAGCAGCGGTCCCTTCTGCTTGAGGCGATCAGCGATGCGATAGCGTGTGACCAGGACAATTATTCTTATGAAATGGTGGGTTTTCGCATTCACCCAAACATGATTGCGATAACCCAACCAACAGGTTATTGTAAAAAAGTACCATTTCTTGACTAATTTATGTTTGGCACTGCAAGCGGAGTGAGCACGATGAAGGGAAGAGAAGATGTCAATTCAGCCGGGGCCCGGTGTTGCGAGAGTAACGAGTTTTGTTGTCAACTCGAACGAGGACACCTAATTTCGTTTACCACAACTCCGGCATACACTTACTGGGATGGAGGTAGAATTCTAATTGCCATCACTCCCTTGAGGCTGAAATGATTTTTGCTAAAAAGACTATTTAAGCATGCACTTGAGTCGGCAAAATCCGTTTGCTTCAAACGGTTTCACCATTTTGCTCAGAAATGCAATTAGAGATACGATATAATTCAGTACGAAATTCATCAAGACTCCTCCTCCATCCTGAGGTTTAAGTGAAACATTGTCATAATCTTGCTTAGCCCTGCGTATCAAACCTTTATTTATACTGTTCTATTATCGTTTTATGCTTAAAATAGGCATCAGACAAGATTGAAATTCAGATGGAGAAATCGGAATTTATGGTGTCATGGTTCGCTTCGAGAGTAGCAGAGGCCAAGCAAGAATACAACCTGGCAAAAGGTGAGGAAAAGCCGAGGGAGGCAGCATTGCCCGGCATTAGCGAGTCAAACCAAAATAACAATCTTTCTATTAACGGTTGTATTACTAAATTAAAGCATTAAAATTGGGCGGTGAAAAAGAGTCGCACACGTCAAACACTCGAGCATGGATAATGAGACTGATTTGACTAATCACGGGTCTTGTCGACTTTTCAACATAGTTTTCATTTCCATTTGTGAATTGGCCTCATTTGAGGTTGACAATAAACTGTGCAATTGTGCAAATAAGTCTTCAACGTAGCGAATCTGTAATGACTCTTCTTCTGTCTCGCTGTGACAGTTTTTAGAACGCCGGACACAAGAAAGATAAGCGGCTACAATCTTTGATTTTCCCTACTCAATAAGATGTCGCATGACTTGGTTTCCACACAATTTCGAAGAAGAGTGAAGCGACAGCCGATACAGTTGTGACCAATTAGTAGTGCCCTCATCTAAATCACTGGTATTTTAGATCCGGTTTTTTGTTTGACTTTATGGTTTGTTCCTTGGACTCACAAGCATTTTGCAGGCTTGTATGTACGAGTCGACAGGTTTTCCCACATAGACATTGTCAAATGACCACAAAATTGCCCAAATTTGGAAATAACCGAGAAAAAAATTAGCTTTGTTTTATACATTGTTCAGATTTCCCGCCTGTTCGGTGATTAGTCTACCCCTTTCAAGCACTGATAGGATAATAGTATCAGGTAGCTAGTGACCTTTCTTATGCTAAATAGATGTTTCCCTTTGCCTTATTTGCTAATACCCAAAAGAAAATTGTCAATTAATGCCAGCATCTTCTTTAGTCTTCAAGCAGCAGGCTCCAATTTTAACCTCATAAGTACAATTTCACAAGAAATCTAAAAATCAACTAGCATTTATGGGTTTCTTATATACATCTGTACATAATTTTCTACTCTTTTTACCGACTAGGATATGGAAAAAGTCAATTAATACCCTTTTCTAATCCGATGCTCAAGCTTTCCATCTATTCTGCCCATCAGCTTACAGAAAATTGCTAGGCTCACTTTGCCATGTTGCCAAACCCAAATGGATCATCCATACACCAAACCACTAATTTCGAAATCAATGTGCTACCTGATTTGCACGACTCTCCAATTTGTTAAACTTGGGTACCAACCCGATCCTATAGTCAAATCTCGTTTTTATTCCATAACTGACCGTCAAAAGTAATATATGTAACATATAACAAATGGAGAGCAAAATGGTGTGAAGTTTACTATGATTGGAGTATTCTTTCGTGGCATAAAACTTCTATGACTTCGTTTTCGCAACTTGGTTGCATTGTCAGGGAGAACTGAGTGAAGACACTTCCACAATTCTAGGGCACAGTATCCATGACTACTTTCAGCGTCGGAACAGCGTGTGTTCATTTATGTCAAATCATTTATGAAATATGTACTACTCGTTGCTGAATTTGTTACTGGCATCATTGACTCCCTTTACAGGAAGCTTGGTCAACATCTAAAATAATTAGTAAATGCAGGCTTTATATTGTCTAATAATCACTAAAATTAACGAAGAATAACATTTCTTGTTTGTTTTCGTTTGTTTAGCATTGCAGGAGAAAAGATATAAGTGAAATGGGTAAGGATACAGCCGTGACAGAACGAATTAAAAGCTGCGCCACCATCAATCCACTAATGGATCCTTCAGAACCCAGCTCTTCTTTTATCTGATCTCTCATCATTGACACTTGAGTCCGTATGAAAAGCTGTCTTGGATGGATTTTTACGTCAGCTAGACCATAGACCGATAGAAATTTGGCTCCAAGTTGTGATTGTTGATTTGAGTTTTGTACATTTCTGCTCACTTTCCTTGCGAATCCTCAAGTCGACACTTGTGTTCGGAGGTTGAAGGCACCCTTGTATGGGCTCAGAGAAGCCAAATCCATCGAGTTGATGTCAATAGACTCGGAATCTCGGGATGTTTGTTCGGGAAGCCAGTATAAAAATGTGCCAAAATCCGTGAGCATAAATCTTATTCCAACAAAGCTAGTTCTATTGCACACGAAATCGCCTATGCTTTCGCGTTTCATATCATATGCGGTATTATCTTTTCTGCCTATTTTAATTACACCGGACGAATACATTCTGTTGCGACGTCATCTTGAAATATGTTTCTTTATTGGAAGAATGTGATCATTCTGGGTGGTATAATGTTTTTCATTTGATAATATTTGGTTTCAAATTATTTATTCAACACAGATTACATTGAAACTTTGCCCATTTTATTTCAGCGTCTTTTGACGAAGCCTTCTTGAACGCGATGTGCCTCCACTTCCCAAGTCTTTTTCTCAAGGGTCGGCAAAGATATCCGGTAATTTTTATCCTCCCATATAAGGTTGACTCCTCTATCCATACAGTGCTCCATAGCTCTCGAATGCCCATGTGCGATCATGGATTATCATGGGCAGCTGTATTTGCAAAAATTGCTGATGTGTTAGTTCTCCCTTCTACACTTTGTTGTAGAAGGCTCCTTTCGACGGCTGAGCCCGTCATCTTCGACGGTGTGCCAATAAATGTGGGTAATAAGATGCTGTAGTATTTTCATTTTTGTCATATCCCGATCCAGTTACACTTTGCAAGTCGCATGCAGTCATGTCGGCAATTCCTGCGATTTCCCGACTTGAGTACAATGTCAATCTCAATCTCAACCTAAAAAACAATCAAACCGGTCGTAAAATAGATGATCGAGTTTAGAAAAAGCAATTATTTATTTCTTCTTACATCCGTTAATTTTGGTAAAAAATAGACTTTATTTTAATTTTCAGGACCAACCAGGACTTCTGTCTCAATTTATTCAGGAGATGCTGAGTTCTAAGAAATATAATCAAGTAAGCAGGGCGTTTAGAGTTAATGGAATATTACCAGTAATTCCCAAACAAAACTTCGCGACTACCAGTAAATCAGTAGTATGATATGTATTAACCCAATTACGGTTAAGTGATGAACGACTGGTAGTAGAATTTTCCCACAATGATAGGAGTAGAGCTGACGCCTTCATTGAATTGAACATTGCCCTTCTTTCCCAAAAGTTGTTTCGACCAATGTTCAATTTAATGGAAGCGTCAGCTCTACTCATATCATTGTGGGAAAATTCTACTACCAGTCGTTCATCACATTCAATAAAACTCAATTGACCTAGGTTGCTTATGAGGGTTTAAGAGCTGATTTAGGAGTTTTACGCTCAATGATATGAGTAGGACTGGA